GGTTTATCAAAACTTTAATATTTATGCATACACATATTTTTGATTTTATTTTATTTTGTAAATTATAATATACCAACCACTAGGCTGAAATTATTCGGAACCAATTGAGTTTACATGAATTCTTTAATAATAATTAAAAGTCAATTCATACAATTATTAAGTTAATCAATACTATAAAAAATAAGACATCATAAAATTAGATTCATTCAACAATCTAGTAAAATCATTTCACCAATTTACTGATAATTTAATGGAAAGGCATTCGTTTTCATTGTGATTCATAAGATTATTAAATAATGTATTAATATTTTTTAAGGGTGTAAACTATTTAACATTTTGAAGAACATTTTTTTTTAATATAACTTGCACCATTTACATGTAATTGAAATAAACAAGGCATATTGGATTGTACCAACAAAATACATCTGTGCGGTGATTTTTTCTCATTTTTTATTATGTAAATATTTTCACCAATTATAACCTTTACGTTATTTTAATATTATGTAAAAAAAAGCAAGTTTGCTCAGAGTGAGTTTTGTTGGCACAATCCCCATATGTAGTATTGGTTATTAATATTAATACTTTAAAACGTCATCCGATGAAAAAATTGACGAAATACTTTTTAATGTCAATATTAATATTATAATCAATATTTTATTTTCAAATAAAATATTGAATAATTTGAATATCGTTAGGGTCAATATTTTCAGGACTTATCAAATTACCATTCTCATCTTTAAAAATTATACATACTACACAGACTTAACCTATTCTTATCTTCAGTCGGTGGTAAAGAAATTTTAGTAGTTGAAGAATTAGGAGTGTCATTCTCTTCATCTTTTTTAATTGAATTCGTTGATCTTAGTAATATTGGTCCCAAAAATTCCATTAAACCACTGACATCTTTATCTGGAGTTGTTTATGGCATAAGCGGTATACCTCTTGATTCAAATTTTTTGCATAGTTTTGCTTTTGATCCGCTGGAACAACATGACCTTTGACATATTCCCCAAGGCACTATTGCAGACCAACCTGTATCATATATATATATATAAACATATTATGTAAGTAATTATATTTTCGAAAGCAACAAAAAAACCATTTACAACAATATTTATGTATAAAAATTACCAAATAGAAAAGTATAAACTCCAGTTAATAATGAATAAAATAATGATATTAATGCGATTGAATCCAGATTCTTTATATAAATAGCAATAACAGAAAATATAATAAAATTAATTGTTGATTATTTTGAAATGAAATGAGAAAATATATATATTATATATGTAATAATATGTTTATTTACATTATAAATTCTATATCAAAGTAGAAAAAAATCAGTGTTAAAAAATCAATGTTAAAGAATTTCAAATTTAAAAAAATTTATATTAAATATCAAAAACAAACACCTAAGATCACTTTCTATTGTTTCAATCCAATTCAAAGTACCAACAAATAAAATACCATAATTACTGGTTGCAAATTGATCTATTATACTTGGTATTCTTATATATTCTAATTTTATTTAAAGAAAAAAAAACAAATAAATTCAATAAAAGAAATTTTTTTTTATCATTAAAATTAAATTGGTTAACTATTAATTGTTACCCACTAACCAATTCTAGAATCAATATAAGGTTGAAGGAAATAATATGGAGGTAAACCGAGCATTTCCCAAAATGACGTTATAAGAAATTCTCTTGTCTTCCTATCAATATATATACTATTTATCTTTATAAATAAATAAATTGAACTAATTAATAAATCGATTAAAATAATATGTGTGTAATATTTATTGCATTAATAATACCTGATGATATGTCATTATATGAAAGTTGAGACTATCAAGTCTCTCAATAAAATAAGGATCAAGTTTATTTACGAGATTACCCACCGCTTCAGGTAATCTGTGTGGATTAAATTCTATATTTAAAAATTTTTTTAAGTTAATATGATAATAGTATAAAATTACTAAGCAAAAAAAAGTTACCTTGATCGTAGGCTTTAATTACAATACCATTATCATATTTTGGATTATATTCAGCATCAGTGATATTGATTAAAAATTGAATGCCATAACGTTTATCAGGTAAACTAAAATTTAATCTTTCAGTTATAGGTGCATCCAGAAGTTCAGTTGGAACTTGGAATTTTCCTATACATCGACTCTTCGATAAATCATTAGGATCAGGTTCGTCACATATTGTTGGCGAATCACCGGGTATAAACAATTCAAAAGGAAAGGTGTAAATGTTAGGTTGAAGAATGGTATAACATTTTGAAGATAATTTTCGAATGATATTTAAACGTGAATTTAATTGTTGTCCTTGTTGCAAAGGTGGTGGTGATGATGATGGCGATGATGGCGATGATGGGTGAACGGACGATTGATAAGATAAGAATGTCCAATTTTTTGATATTAATTCACATTCTTCACATAGATCATTATTATTCGTAGAGCCTAATAAATTATTTAATAAACTGTTAATAAATTATTATCATTACTATTATTATTGTTATAGGTGGAAAACAATAAAAAGATTTATTCGGAAAATTTAATTACTAATACTAACCATAATAGACTCTACCCTCTGGCCAAAAAGTTTTCGATTTACCGTTAAATTTCAAATCTAATTTTTTTATTTTGGTTGGTTTGTCTAAAATTAATATTAGTTCGCCCCTTAAAAAGCAACCTAATGATTCTTGAGGATTTCCGCGTAGAAAAAGTGCTGGCTCCATTAATTTAATTTTTAGACAAGTAGAAGAAGAAAATAATGATTTTGAATTATTCCTTTGTGGAATGCTATCATTATTTGATATAAATGAAGAAAATGAGGTTCTTGTAGAAATACTTTGTGGAGACATGATATGTATGTGTGTTACGAGATAAATTTTTTTAAAAAAATCAAAAAAAAAAAATCAAAAAGTTCTAAAATTTATACCACTCCAAAAAATTATGACGCAATTACATAATCGATACGATACCAACTAAAATTGGAAACGCCTTTACTATTACTTAATATTACTTAAGCCAAACAAAGCTCAGATCCGAAATTATTTTATTTAATTGTAAAATTATTTCCCGTTGGAAATTATTATACAAAAAGGAATATTTATTTATATTGATGTTGAATTATCTGTATTATTTGTTTTGTATAATTAAAGTTACTAGATCATATCTGACATATAAGTTATCCGATATCGAATGCACTATGACAAACAATGTTCAAATTTGGCTAGCACGTGGATAAATTAAATTATTTACTTGCAGTGCAAGGATCTCTTGACTCTAGAATTATGCATAATAAAAATTATTTTTCCAAATTAGTAAAAGTTTGAAAATTATAAAATGAATGGTAACAACGAATTTGGTCTTTTAAACTGTTTGTAGTACATGACAAATTTTGTATTAATAGATTAATATGAATAATGAACCGACACCAATTGTTTTATTTTATTTTCCTTTTATTATTTAGATAGATGATATACTTATCAAATTAAGATATAAATCGATTTTTTTTTTTATGGGTGGAATTATCGATCGAATCTAATGTTAAATATGTATTTTACTACGTAGTTCACGAGAAATTTGGCAGCGAAAATTCTGGTTAGATTTGGAAAAATAATCTCTAAATTTGGTCAAATTAAGGTTACATATCAATAATAACAATGTCGCTTTTTCCAATTTTTTTACACATGGAATTAAAAGGGAACTCGGCACACATGATCACATGTATTCTATTTTTGGAAGTTCCCTTTAAAATTAATTTGGCAGTGTGGCGAGGTTCAGCACTTCTATGAAGGCTAATAAAATATAAAATTTACAAGAAAAATATACGTTCCAAGGTCTTCTTCATTTTAAAAGACAATAAATAAAATCTCACGGATGTACATATATTAATGCGTTTTTATTAATATTGTGACTAAATACTCATAATTGCTTATTTTTTTTTTATATATATAGAACTGCGACCAAGTACAGTGAAAGGACAAAATTAAAAATCACGCGAAATGATCATTTGTTTGAGAATTGTTATTCGCACCCCTCCCGTGACTAAGTCAAAGATGAACCAATAAAATCATCACATTTTAAAGCCATTCATTGGTCACATTACTACACTTAGTCACGGGAGGGGT